ATGGAAACATCACAAACGAGAGATTCAGCTGGGTTCCAGGTGAGTCTCTCGAAAAATCAAATTAGTTTGCAAATAAGTGCATATCCGTTCAACTTTGTTGGCGATAACTGGACCTGTGAACGAGCCGTTGTATCCTACCATTATCAAACAGCGATTGCTCAAACGCTATTTATACCTGTGTGCGGTTCACCCGAAATCGTTATCATTTGCAATGGAAATTTCCAATACCCCCTCGCATGCAACTTCATCAGGCTCACTTCTTGCAACTGTATAAGTGTTTTACAGCTTCAGCCTATGAACACAGATGATATTGCAATTGGTTTTTTTTCTGGNATTATCGAAAGTGGAGCTGACAAAGAAACGGATGCGATTCGCCCTGAACTTAGTCGACTAACTTAGCGAAATACACTCACCTGCAAACTAATTTGGTTTTTCAGGAGGCTCACCTGGAACCCAGCTAAATCCCTCGTCTGTGATGTTAGTTTGGTTTGCAAATGAGTGTGTTTCGCTAATTTCGTGCAATTTGGTTTCAAGTAGAACATAAGGTTGACGGAAACCCGGGGACTGCGCGTACCTAATGAGCTCCAAGAAGGGCGAAACCGGTCGTGGGCTGTCGACAAATTTTCATCAACCTTATGAGTAGTGCACTGGTCGACTAGCTTTCTCTTATGAAGCATATTCACCATTCGACTTCCCAGATTCTCCCACTCATGCTTAAGCTCCCACTTAAAGTGTCGTTCTGGTAACTGTGTTGTCCTCCTTCCTCTGGATCGGTTGTATGTCCGTCCTCATCGGCGCCAAGCGCCCCTAATGCAGCCATTGAGATGTGGAGTTGCGTCGACTCGGTCACGGGTACAGGACCGAGGTTAGATAAGTGTAGCAAGGTCCTCGGTCGAATGATAGCGTGTATTCTTTGGATCACCCGCACAGCTGGACAGCACTTGATGGTCTCACCCACTGCACTACTGCTTAGACGGACAAGAAGACGAAAGTGACATAAATGATAAGTGAAAGAAACTCACACAAACGCCAGCTGTTCACGCTAGCGTGATTCCCCTGGCACTTGACCAACGAGTATAATTAGTGGCGTTGCGCGGGGACGCAGTCACAACTTGAATGAGATTGTTCGTGAGTTCAGTTCAATTAGCGCCGATGTACGGCCAACAACGGGAGCTTGTGGCAGAATACCGATGCGGTGACCACGTAGGTAAGGCGAAGAGGACTCGACGGTCACGTTATTCCACCGACGATTTTTCTGTGTATCAAGTCCTCCGACATTTGGGATGGAAATTCCCAAATGCTCATTCAAACAAGTGCTCAGAAGTGGAACAACTCGAAGTATACAGTGAATGAGTTAAGGAAGGAGAACCGAATTAAAAGGTTTTGGTCTGCACGTTCCGGTATCTGCTTCCCTTGGGTCTATCAGTCTTGTAGCAGTTTTTTTAATGATTTTAACTCTGTGCCTGTTACCCGATCAGTTTGGAAAGGTTCGCTCTCCCACGTGACTGTATGGGAATATGCAGCAATAGCCCCCGCTGACCGACTTGATATTTTCAAACAGTTTTACTCATTACTGTGTGCGATCAAGCATTTACCAAGAACAGATTAGAACTTGGTTAGAATGTCCTTCAGGCTGAATTTGTCTGAATTTGACGAATGAATTTGGCGAAAGGTGTAAGCGAGTAAGTATCCGAATGAGTTCTACTGCACTGTGGGTAGTCGTTTAGCGAACTCGTCTAGGGTTACGGCATCGACCAGACAAATATCTTCGTAGCTTTGAAATCAAGTACCGAATATATTACTAACAGCCAGCAAAAACAAGTGGATTCCAAATGCAAGCTTCTCCTTCGGTCGAGATTCAGAACTGCTGACATCGCGAGACGCGTCAATGGCGCTTTCGGTTGGTCTGTTGCGAAATGCCGTGTGTCTGCCTGCTGTATTCCTGTTTTTATGATATGCTGACACTGATTTGCTATTGACGATGGTTTAGTATTTCAGCAAGAGCTAATTCGGTCAGCTCTGTTTATCACAGCAGTAGCTACCATTGTGCTTCTGCGCTGCCTGATTGGCTGAGAGGGAAAATTCGACAGAATCGGTTGGGAGCTAGCTTCGAATGAGAGTGACATAGTGTGACTCATAGACACCACACAGCGTGACCAATCAATGGTATGCAATAAGTAAAGCTAAGCAGTGACGTGATTGGCATGACATCATTAATGGACACATACGGCTACAAACACACAAAGTTGGGCATTCGAGAGAGCGCATCATTTATCATCTGTTATGATCACCCTGTATTTTGGTTATCACGCACCACAATCCTGGCGACGGGCTGACCTTGTGTTTCAGGCATGCAAATATTTCTTTACGACAAATTCTCTCTCTTTGGGTGCCAAGTTCTCCCTGCCCTGGTATGGTGGCTCCTTCCTATAGCTTATCTTTTCTTGATTCGGCCCAAAATAAACCTTAATGTTTCATTGACATTTCCACCCGACCAGTACCCCGCAAACACCGCATTCGTTTACCTATGGTACAGCTGAGCTATCGATTGGAAATCGCTCCTTGTGGCTCTGTTCCTGTATTTTTCAATCCTGTACTCGTCTCGGCTCACCTAATCATCTCTGTCAATTTTATACCACTCGTTGTATAATTCCACTCTTCTCGACCTTTTCCCCAGTATCACCTCGTCTTGGCACCTACCCGTTTTCCTTAGGAGGGACTTCGTTCTGGAACACCATGCTTACAAACCATCAGGATAAGATACGGATGCCAATTTGAAAGCACCCATTAGGGCTTCGAACTTGACTTATCCGTTAGGATTCTCAGGTTCACACATACTGGACGGACGGCGGTGATACCCTTGTGACAATAACCAGTGCCGGTAACATTGTCATGCCATCTAATTTAGGCCGTCTGATGGTCCCTGCATGTCGTCCAAGAACTTCACTTTTCGAGTCTACATTGGCGTCAAGTGATTGCATGCGTCCCCAGTTCGGCTCCTTCCAAACCCTCTGTGGCTCTCCAACTATGTTCGGCGGTATCACAACGACGTCCGACGAATCACTCTTCGGACACAAACCAATCATACTTTAAAATGCAGAATGAACGTTCACCCAACCATGTACGTCGCTGTCAGATTCTTTTTACCGTCTTCTCAGTATGGTATTGACCATGAGTCTTTCCTCTATCCGTTTTCAATGCGGGGAAATGGCTGGGAGATACACAGTGATGACTAGGTATGACTGAATCTATCCAGATCTCGGTTAAATGAAGCTGACACGTATCGTCCGTTCACCCTTCCGTTTTCTTATCTGACTGCGTTAGCCTGACTACATTTTTTCCAATTTTTTTGACCTTGTTCTCACATTAGTGCTGACTATGACCACATTGTCGTTCCGTTGCACAGCAGCTCAACTGAGATATCTTTTCTGATTTTTTTTGACGTTGCTGTCACATTAGCGCTGACTACGATCACATTATCGGTTCCGTTGCATAGCAGCTCAACTGAAAGTTTTGTGCAGTCCTCATGCCAGTCAGACTTAGCGCTATGAGGTCAAGGTGTTCTAATCCATGTGACACCAATGTTTAGCTGAACGTGAGAAATTGTGAACTGTCACGCGCCAAGTGTTAGCTGAATGGAAAGAGAGCGGTGTAAAAGTGCAATCAGTTGTTCCGTACTATTGTGTTTGTGATTACTGATAAATTGAACATGGCATGAATTAGGTTATGCAGGGATTGGACTGAAATTTATTTTGAAAAATCCATATATGCTTACAATAGAAATTTTTTAGGGTGGATGTGATCTTGAGAACGCATGATGTCGGAACAACCGTAACGGTAATGGAGCCGTCTGATCTTTTCCACGAATGGTTCAGCATTTGCCTAGTACTATGATTCCTATTCGGTGACCATCCCTTCGGGCAGAGAACCATCTAACTGGTGATTGCTCCTCGTTTGGTGAACAAACGTTTTACAACCTACTTGCCAAGCTTGGCGAATAGATCAACAGTTACCTGATCAATGCTCAACTTTACCGACTGAGTGCGGCAAGTTCAAATTCGTGAACGAGTGCAGCGTGCAGACAGACTTCTTGAAACTTGATATACATTGCGTTTTGATAAGATATGCGGACAACAGTGCTGAATGCAATGCATGTTCTACGCTGACAGATGCTCATCCGTTCAAACCGACGAATGGTTCAGCATCTGCCTAGTACTATGATTCCTCTTCGGTGACCATCCCTTCGGGGAGAGAACCATCTAACTGGTGATTGCTCCTCGTTTGGTGAACAAACGTTTTACAACCTAGTTGCCAAGCTTGGCGAATAGATCAACAGTTACCTGATCAATGCTCAACTTTACCGACTGAGTGCGGCAAGTTCAAATTCGTGAACGAGTGCAGCGTCCAGACAGACTTCTTGAAACTTGATATACATTGCGTTTTGATAAGATATGCGGACAACAGTGCTGAATGCAGTGCATGTTCTACGCTGACAGATGCTCATCCGTTCAAACCGAATGTAAGGTCTTCATGTCGGTCAGTGCACCGTATTGCGTCAGAGCTAAACCCTCCGGGACTATATTCGGAAACTCGGTGACTGCGCCTACCTGATGAGCCCCAAGAAGGGCGAAATCGGTCATGGGCTGTCGGAGAGTTTTCAGCAACCTTGTGAGTAGTTTCCTTTATGAATATATTCAGTCTAGTTTGGAGTGGACAGCTCGAAGAGACCCATCAATAAGTGTCTACCACCCGAAAGGGTGTGACCACATTCTCTGATTTGACATGGTATGAACTTGTATGCTGACTTCCATTCTCACAAGCGCGCTTTTTCGGTCCTCTGAAATTGCACCCCTGCCATCGCTTCATTCGTTATATTCTATTGATTACCCACCGTTTTAAGCGGATCCGTGTAAAAGAATATATCACCTTTGAAGGGAACTTTTATCAGCCTTATCTAACCTTACCCTTAGTTTTCGGGTGGACAGTTTAGCTGAAAGATACACGAGTGCCTACAAAACGCTTCGCCAGACTATCTTTGATCACATTTCCCACCGGATTAACTTTTGCCCCATGCATCTCTCCCACAGTAGCGTGACTGTATACGAAGTAATATTTGTGTACAAAACCCTGCGTTCCCTCATCTGGTTGTTCTGCTGGACAGTAGTATGTGCATGATTTATCCTACATCGTTGGACGACTTTATCCCGCTGAGTCCCTCTACTCTTTTTCGATTCCCCACATATTTTTTGGACACATAAAAGTCCCATCACCCAGCGGCCAACGCCGTTGCCGGGACATTAGTCGGCATTGAGGAGTAGGACAAATTTCTTGTCTTATTGTCCAGTTGGCTAGACAGATGATAACAGCTTCAGTGTCTGTGCTGAGTCTCATCTAAAAGCACCGGACATCTCTTTTTGGATCTGCGTTACACGAACGTGACAACACCAGTCTCATCGACACTGAGATTTACTCAGCTCTGATCTGCAGTTTTGATGAAACTCGTGGTTTTGGGACAACGGATCGGGTACACAATACTCGCATAACAATGATGAGTAAAAAACGATGGTTTTAAACTTGTCAGCTATTGGCCGGAACTGTTCCCCGGAAAAAAGTCGCATTAGCTGAATACCGGCCAGTAGGCTCAAGTTGGAATGGCATTTCAAAGGCAAGTTAGCAA